ATGTTAAAAATCTAAGTCTAATAACACTAAGAAAACTAACGCTCACAGAAGCATATAAGATGTTGGGGCTTGGTCAAGCAAATTTCAGTCTTTATAGAGTTTAGATAATATATATAACAGTCAATTTTTATATTTTTGTGATCTAGTTATTTTGACATCAGGATTATGAAAAATTCATAGAACCAGATGGCAAGCTTTTATCTCATTAGATTTGGAAGTTCCCTGATTATTTGATAGATTTTGCCCATAAAATCATCTGGCTTGGGGGAGGTAGAGCTTTTGATTACATTAAAACATTTCCCCTGCATTTATTATTTTGTTATATTATCGGTTTACATCTTTTGGAGTTAATTCTGATGAATTATTTTCCTACAATTATTATGTACTTCACAAGATTTCTAGATATTCATAAATATGTTAATCTCTCTAAACATACTTATCTCATATATAATTCATCTGTCTTCTTTTTTTCCATCAGAATTACCAATGATTGTATCTATATGTATTTTTTTCTGTCAAAGAAATAATTTTACTTTTTCCTTGTATTTTTGCCTTTTATTCCTACTGATAACTATTCTTCTATATTTGGATTTAGTTTACAGTTATTCTTCTAGCTTTTTGTCTTGTACATTTAATTCATTTATTAATCATGTCTTAGTGTTTTAATATCACTATGCCTATCAGGCTATATGTTTTTTATCTAAAGGCAGATCTGGCTGCCTGCCAACCCTCAATGTTTTTCTGTATAATGTGCTCATTTTCATATAAACATAATTTGGGGATTGATATCCTACTTAACTCACAATATTTGTGTTTTTTAAATTGAAGTATATAGTCAGCTACAATGTGTGAGTTTCTGGTGTACAGCATAATGTCCAGTCATACATACACATATATATATTCATTTTCATATTTTTCATTAAAGGTTATTATAAGATATTGAATATAGTTCCCTGTGAACTCACAGTATTTGGAGGGGGTATTATCAATATTCAGATATTTGTTGGCTATCATATTTTAATTTTTTTCCCATTCTGGAAAAGGATATGACCTACATATGTTCTACTTTGAGGGGCAAGTGATTATTGAGTTAGTATTTCATGTCTATCTCTTTTTTGACGAATAGTGTTTTCAACTAATCTTGATATATAAATAGGTTTTTGAAGGGTATGAAGTTATTGTGTAGTGTGAAATATGAGGTGTGAATGTAGGCTTATTCACCCATTCTCTGTCCTTGAGTTTTCTTACGGTTTGTTTTTTTTTTTTGTAACTTCATGCTGAAAAAGGAATAAGTGTTGGTGAGCTGATTTTTACAAACATTACACCCACTGATCTTTTTCATTATAAATTCTTTGATGTCAATTAAGGTGTATAAGTCCTTTTCACAAATAATAACAATGAAGATATTAATGCTAATGTTGGATAACTATCAGCTAGATAGTTACTATATGTTATAAAAGCTCCAACCATTTTACACTTATTAACTAGTTTATCCTTACAGCAATCCAACACACACATCATTAGGATACATTTATACAAAAAAACATATAAAACAGCACTAACTTTTCCTACAAATACTTAACATATTTGGTTGTGTGTGCATATGCATGTAAAAAGATTGTTTTAAAAAGGTCTGGAAGGATAAAAACAAATTGGTAACAGTGATTACAATGAGGGAACTGGAGTTATTGGGAATATTTTACAGGGGGACTATATTCATCAGTTATTTCAGCACTGAAATTTAATGTTTTTAAATTTCAAATGAGAAAAGTACTGAAGTTGCATTTAGAAGGGAACTTTCAAAAACTGCAAAGTTTAAACAGGCACCAAAATGTTTGTCAGTAGTTATTTAGCAAAGTGATAGTCAACTACAGAAGAGATTACTGGGACACCATTAAAAAGATGATACATAAACATCTATACTTACTGAAACAGTGGCATGATAAAAGCAGGTCATGGCACAGCATGCACGTCATGATCACATTCAATAAAGCCTAGATGGATATGCTGTAATGAAAGCAGTCATCTCTGTTTGGTAGGCTTATAATCTTTATTTTTCCCTTTGTGTCCTCTAATTTTTTCTTACAGTAAGAAAATATGTTTTACAAAAGGAAAAAAGAATAGAGCTGCCTTCCAAAAACAAAGTTATAATTCCACCATAAAGTCAAAGATAGCCTATGTAACACAATTTACAGTGTAGTACTCTGTAAGCCACAGAACTAGAAAAGATGGCCCTAAAACATAAGGCAGTACAAACATAAATATATAACCAAAATGGAGAACAACTGGGAAGGAATTATTGAATAAGTAGTTTTGGAATGTAATCTTTCTTTGGTGGTGGTGGGGTTAATTTAGACCTTGAATTCACATTTTAAATATATTTCATAAATCTTATGTATAAAATTACAAATACATTAGAAAAAATAGAGTTAAGAGTACAATGGGTTGAACTATGCTGAAGTCCTAACCCCTGGTATCTATGAGTACGATCTCATATGGAAATAAGGTATTTGCAGATATAATCAAGTTAGGATGAGGTCCTTGGGGTGAGCCCTAATCCAATATGACCTGCATCCATAAAAGAGACGAGACACAGAGTCCCAAAGGGAGAAACCAGTATGAAGATGGAGGCAGAGATTGAAGCAATGCATCTACAAGCCAAGGAATGTGAAAAATTGCTAGCTGTTAGGAGAAGCCAGAAGGACATGGAACAGATTTTTCCTCAGAATCCCCAAAAGGAACCAACCTTGCCAACAACTTTGATTTTGGATTTCAAGGCTCAAAAACTGTGAGAGAATAAGTTTCTGTTGTTTTAAACCACCCAGTTTCATGGTACCTGGTACTTTGTTACAGTAGCCCTAGGAAATACCACACAGGGGAACCTTCAATCATGT